ACAAAACGCAACAGAAGAAAGAAAAAAAAACAAATACTATGTTTCGATCTGCGTTCAAACTCCGTAGTTCGTTCTTCTTTATGGATAGCATTTTCCATCATGAGGCCTTTGGAGATGTCTTAGATCCTTGTATTGTTGAGAAGGGTTATGTCTATCAGTATTAGTTATCGCACAGCATGGCTGTTATTGTGTACTGTGTTCTGCTGGTTCTGCTCACTTCACTCAGCATCAGATCGTATAAGTCTTTCCAGGTTTTTCTCAAGTCAGCCTGTTCATCATTTCTTATAGCACAATAGTATTCCATTACATTCATGTACCACAACTTGTTCAGCCATTCCCTAATTGATGGGCATCCTCTCAATTTCCAATTCTTTGTCACCACAAAAAGAGCTGCTATAAATATTTTTGTACGTGTGGGTCCTTTTCCCATTTGTGTGATCTTTCTGGGATATAACTCTAAAAGTGCTATTGCTGGGTCAAAGGGTATGCACATTTTGATAGCCCTTGGGCATAGTTCCAAATTGCTCTCCAAAATGGTTGGATCATTTTGCAATCCCACCAACAATGCATTAGTGTTCCAATTTTCCCACATCTTCTCCAACATTTATCAGAAAATACATAATTTATAACACCATTGTAACAGCTAACATGCAAAGGAAAATACATTTCTCTACTTTTTTATCTTTTACCTTTTACCTTTCAAGTGCTAAAAATATCATGAAATTCTTTATAATAAACTTTTTTTCCTACATTTTCTACATTTCTACATTTTCCACCAAAAATAGATTGTTATTTGCAAAGACAGGAGCTTGACTGTGAACTGAGACATCAGTTCATTTTGCTGTTATGCTTCTGTGTAAGGTTCTTACTGCTGCTACTTGTGTTAAGCTATCATTCCTATCTCTACACACCCTGCTCTGAGCTTCCTCATGGTTGACCACTAAATTACTGTGCAAACCACCTCCTCTACTCTTACCTCTTCCCTTCTCCAAAATTACTAGTAACTATATATTTGAGAATAGAAAATTGTTCTTTTAAAATCCATTAAGGGTGGAGTCAAGATGGTGGAGTAAGAGGTAACAGCTTTGCTTCAGTTCCCCTAAAACTTCTTCCATAATGACCTTGAAAATGTGCCAGGGGCAGCTAGGTGGCACAGTAAATAGAGCACCAGTTCTGTAGTCAGGAGGACCTGACTTCAGATCTGGCCTCAGACACTTGACACTCACTAGCTGTGTGACCCTGGGCAAGTCACTTAACCCCAATTGCCTCACCAAAAAAAAAAAACAAAACAAAAAAGAAAAAAAGAAAATGTGCCAGGTTGAATTCTGAGCTGGAAAGCCAAGAAAAAAGTCATAGTGAGTCAATTTTCCTACCCCCTAGGTAGCTTAGGAAGATAGAGAAGTTTGTAGATATTGGGATAGGAGCTGAGCAAGAGCACACCACAGCAACAGAAGTGGCACTCAGCTCTGGCAGCTGGGAGGAGCAACCCAGGGACAGTAAGGGGACTGAAAACCTGTGCAGAAAGAGATCCTGGGGTCCCTTGTCTAGCACTGAGAGCAGAAATAGGCACTATCTAGCAGCTCTTGTCACCCGTTGTCCAGTTCCAGAGCAGAGAGCAGCAGTTGCATTTGTGAGGGAACGGGGGCATACCAGTGTGAGGAGTCCAGGTAAGGAGTAAGGTACTCACCTGGAGGGCAGTGAAGAGACCTCTCCCTGGGTAACAGGAATCACCAAAAATTTACAGGTGTTCAGATTGAGCTGTGAAAGTAGAAGGACATAAAAGACAGAAGCTCAGGCCAGATATGCCTCAGAGGCGAGCAGAGCTCAACTCTTAACATAAAGTCCAAAATGAAGAAAGTAGGCTAGAAAAATGAGCAAACAACAAAAATAGAACTTGACTACAAAAAGCTACTGTGGTGACAGGGGTGCTCAAGATGCAAACATAGAAGAAGGACTTGGAATCATCTAGAAGCAAAGCCTCAAAGGAAAATGCAAATTGGAGAGAAACCCAACAAGGATTCCTAGAAGAGCTAAGAAAGAGATTAAAAAAAGAGCAAAAAAATTTATTTTAAAAACCAAGTAACAGCAGTAGAGGAAAAATTGGAAAAAGAAGTAAGAGATATGCAAGAAAATTATGAAAAGAGAACTAACAGATTACTGAAAGAGGCACCAAAAAATGCTGAAGGAAATAACTCCTTAAAAATCAGAATTGGCCAAATGGTGAAACTAAAGTAAGTTCAACCATCATTGTGCTAATCAATGCTAACAAATAAGAATGAGTAAAACATAGTAATCAATTACTCATTTTCATAATCATAAGAATACGTTCAAAGAAAATTTTGATTTTTAGTTTTAAAATGTAATATCTATGTAGCATTTTGATTTATTTTGTTAATATTTCCCAATTATACTTCCATCTGGTTGCAGCTGTACTCAGCAATGTTATGGATCAGGTGTTTGATACCTCTCATTTAGAGTAGAAACTCCCTCTATTCATCTAGATTCTCAACTGATTTGTAGTTTATAGTTTGAGTTACCTGGGGCACTAGGAGATAAAATGACTTCCCTAAATTCATGTAGCTAGTAAAGAATGTACCAGTCTAATTAACTCCAAAGCCACCCTGCTATCCATTACGCTGTGCTGCTGCTATTTTATTGCCTCTTGTTGGGGCAGTGGCTATTTTTATCTGCTTGGTTTTGCCTTATAAATTGCCAGGTCATATTTTTTTATGTGTTTATAGGTCTGTTTTGGGAAGCTTTGCATTGTCTGAGCTTTGATGTAATCAGAATGTCACCTGAAAACAAGTGCATGTTAACCTTCTGTAGGAACTCTCTCACATGGACTTCTGTCTTTTTCACGCATATGTTTCCATGTTTTATACTTTTCATTATATTTTCTTAAAGGAACCCCGTCATCCACTGTATCTCTATGTCTGTCTGTCTGCCTGTCTATCTATCTACCTATATTTCTCATCACTACAAAATTTTTATGAGAAGGTCGATTCATATTGAAGAGGCACCTAGGTGGTTCAGTGAATAGAGCACTGGTCCTGGTATCAGGACTGACTTCAAATCCAACCTCAGACACTAGCTGTGTGACCCTGGGTAAGTCACTTAATCTCAGTCTTAATCCTCTGGAGAAGGGAATGGCAAACCACTGTAGTATCTTTGCCAGGAAAATGCATGGACATCATGGTCTAAGGGGTCACAGGGAGTCTGACATGACTGAATGAACAACAAGATTTTATATGAATAAATGTATCAATATTTTATTCTTTTTTCCATGGTAATGTTAGATTCTTTCTAACTAATATCTTTTGCTCTTTAAGATGTCATGAGATTAATGCCTTGGTGCCCAGTGGCCTCAAAATTGTTCTCTGTTGCTTGAATCTCTTGTGTATACTTGGTCTGATCTAGCTGTTTTTCTCATCTTTGTTTTCTTTAGTGCTATTTCTACTGTTTTTTAGCACATTGGAACCTGTAATGTTCAAATGGTTTGTTTGCAATAGCATTGCTAGAGAACCTTGTTATAGAAAAATAGAACAGTCTGTAGTAGACAGATTCCTAACATTTTTTGTCCATTATCCTTCTGGTTTCATTTTTTTTCTTTCAAAATACATTTTTTTAGTATCTTTTGTTTTTATATCACCTACATTTCAGCCATTCCCCATTTGTGGGCATCCTCTCAATTTCTAATTCTTTGCCACCAGAGAAAGAGGTGTTATAAATATTTTTGTTCATGTGGGTCCTTTTCCCGTTTTTATGATCTCTTTGGGATATAGCCCTAGAATTGTTATTTCTGTGTCAAAGGTTATGCATATTTTTATAGCCCTTTGGGCATAGTAAGGATACCACTTTGAAAACTAATTACTATGCCACAGTTTATTTAGCCATTGCTCCAAAAATGGGCATCATTTCCCCCCTCTAGTTCTTTTACTATTATCCCCTGAATGGGGCCATTCAGGAAGCATTTATTTTATGGGGTGGGTCAGATTTACTCTTCTGTGGCCCCATTCACCATCCTCATAACTTTCCATATTAAAGAATCCCTCCTTGGCTACCATTTCCCTATATGTTCAATCAATAAATATTTGTTAAGTGCCTGTTATGTACTATGTACATTGTGCTAAATGCTGAGACAAATACGAAAAAAGAAAGACATTCCCTGCCCTCAAGGAGTTTATAATCTAATGGGAGAAGACAGCAAATAAAAAGAAGCTTCGAAAGCTGGGGAGGAGAAAGAGACACCAGGAGCTACACTGCCCAGGGTCATCTTGTTGTATAGAGTTGAAACTAGGCAGAGCTACAAATGGGAAGTGGAATGAGTTGGCAGTCCAATTTTTGCCTTCTGCAAAGGAAAGCTTTGGGAGGAATTTAATACTCCATCCTCCAGCCCTCCAGAGGGAACAGGAAGCTCTCTCTTTCATTAGACTGTTACCTTGAGGGCAGAGAATATCTTTGTTTTTATATTTATATCCCCACATCTGTCAGAGTACTTGGCACATAGTAATTCTCAATAAATACTCTCATTTACTTATTTATTATGTTGTTGAAGGATTTTGTGATTCATAATAATTCTATTTCTGTAATACTTTAAGATTTTCAAAGCACTTTGCCTTGTAATATAATTATCAGAAGTATGTTTATCCTCTTTCCCCCTTTTTTATGTGAAGAAACAGATTTATGGAGGTTGTCACTAGCAGTATCAAATGATTAGTTAAAATTGGAACTCTTATTCCGGTTTCTTGATTCAAAATCCAGCACTTTTTTGACTATACCACAATATAGAAATATTTAGGAAATAACTGTAAAATTTAATTACTGTAGGATATTCTAAGATTTCATTGTCATGCCCGTCTTGCTTCTATGACTAAACTTTCATTTTATTTTAATTTTCTCTAATTCTTCCTTTACTTTCTCCTTTTTCTCTGTCTCTCTTTTTTTGTTTTCATCAAACAGTTTTTTACTTTTAAATTTTATTTAAATTTTCTTTTCCTTAGGGGCCGCACAACTATTTTGAGAAAACATCCTCCTAAAAGAGGGAACAGAAGGAGAAACATCTTTGCAAAAAAGACCTTGGTATCCCATGAACGAAACAGCAGATCTCGTATCGGGGTGCAGCAGTACTCCGGAGCCAGTTACGAGGCTCAGAAAAGGTTGCCAATCTGATGTTTCAGGAAAAGGTCATAATGATAACCACCAAGGAGAAGATCTGGGGCCCCTTTTAGTGGCATCCGTTCCCTGTTCCCACTTCAAAAAAGTAAGTAGGTGACACAGAAGGGTTGTAATTAAAATGACATAAGGGATCTTAGAAGATGATTATTTCAAAAATGATCATGACTTTGTTTGTAGAGAGGAAGCCATTAATAACTGTAACTTTTTTTGGGTAAGAGGATTTCATTTTAGCATCTTATAAATTGGTTTAGACATTATAATATCTTTTGTAGGTTTTCCTTTTTGAACACATTTCAGTTTCTCTTTATAAAAGGGGGAAATTGTGACCACAAGGTTGTCGTGTTGAACACTGAATCTGAACTCATATCATGATGAGCTAGGGCAAATTAGAATGTAAATTGTGTAAAGCTGGTTGGCTGTAATAATAAAAATATTTTTTCACAGTAACCAGCCTTCCCCTCATGCCCTTGTTTTGGTTATGATGTTTATATAGACTTTTTGAAGAAATGCTGCCTGTTGGGGATAGTTCTAGCTATCACACTTGTTTCCTGGGCTTATCTTGGTGTCAGTACAGTTTAGAAAACAGAATTGCTTTGTGAGATTCACTTTTGTCTGCCAAAGAGAAAGAGCAGTTTTAGACAAGCCACAATTAGAGCAAAACAAGAAGTTGTAAATGTGAGAATAGTAGGAGGAATTTAACTTTGTAAATAGTTTATCTGTTTCATTTTGTTTATGTTCTTATGCACTCTGATACTATCAAAACAAAATATACACTGAGAATGAAACATACCAAGTGACTACCCATCTCTTTGGACTGTTACTATTGGTCATAGAGTAGATTTCATCTTTCTTAGTATGTTGTTGGTTTGGATTTTAAATACTTTTCTCCCTTTAGGACTTGTGTAAACATTTCAGAGGGCTAATGGCATGTTATACTATAATAACAAGCCAGGAAAGCCTAAACTGAAGCCCTAAACTTGTTCCTGGTGTCACTTCAGTAGAATGTGTTAGTGGGATGTCTGTTTAATGCACAACGTGGACAGATAAATCGTAGATTTAGAGCTGGAAGAGACCTCAGAGGACATCTAGACTAACCTCCTTATTTTACAGTTATAACAAATCTGACCTTCTGGAGAGTTAAGTGATTTGTTCAGTGTCACAAAGGTAGAAATCAACGGTTCCAGAATTTGAATTATGGTCTTCTAACTCCACATCAGGTACTCTTTCTCCTGGACCACAAGTTATGGGATATTTTAACTGTCTGTAAGTAGCGTCGCAAAATAAGTCCTTGAAGTTAATCCTCGGAGGAGGGTTGACAGACATGTAGGGCCTGTATTTCTTTCTATTATGGTATATAAGTTAAGGTCACCCTTAGAAGGATGACCACATAAATATGGGGCCAGGTTGCTAGATGTGAGGTACTTTGGAAAGAAGATGTATGTGAGTATAACTGTTTCTTTAACAGGTCCTTTGTACTTGACAAAGTGCCTTTAGCAGTATCATTCTGCATGGTAAAGAGTGGATGTTATGGTTCCTCCTATTGGTTTTAATTTCTACTTACAACATCACTAATGTGAAAATATGTTTAATATGAATGTAAATGTATAGCCTATATTAGATTGTGCGCCATCTTGGGGAGGGTGGTGAGGAGGAAGGGGGAGAAAAATTTTAAACTCAAAAGCATATAGAAGTGATTATTGATAAATCAAAATAAATTAATAAAATAAAAAAAAGACAAGAAAAAAAAAGAGTGGATGTTGATAACTCTTCGTTAATTTCAAATACTTGATACATTTTGCTTGCTTTCTTGAAACCCTGAAAGTTGTTCAGGTAGACTGAGATCTGTGAGAAGATTAAGGAAATATGCCATGCTTTTACTTTTAATGAAGTTGTGTTAACTGGCAGAGAAAAATTTTTGCCATTTGGAAGCATTTTTATAAGTATTTCCATTTCAGTGCAACTATGACCTAAATATAGATGACTGGAGATTCAGAACTGGAAGAGAACTCAGAGGTCATTGAGTTCCCTGCCCTTATTTTATAAATGGGCAAATTGAAGGAGGCTCAGAGAAGTGACATGACTTGCCTAGTATCATATAAAGAGTAAGGAGTAGATCTGGAATTTCAACTTATTTCTGTTGATGCTAAAACCAGTGTCTTTTTCCTTCTACCTTTTTAGCAAAGTTTCTGTGTTAAAATCCATGTTAGTACTAAATTCAAAATGGTATTATTAGTATTCATCTATTTATTGTCTTTCAAGAAACTCAGTGCTTCATGTAAATTATTTCATTCAATCATTAAACATTTACTAAGTGCCTCCAAAATATGCCTATGCATTAGCTAAACAGAGACAAAGTAACTTGCTTTACAGCATATGTTAGAACAGCTCAGGTTTCTAAACTTAGAGGCCAGTGCTCTCTTCCATTAAACTGTACGAAGTGTTGGTCTTTGCTATTGTAGGTGACTGGTGATTATAGTATCATAGCATCGTAAGTGAAAGTCAATTGATAACTACAAGTCAGTCTGAAGTATTCAGTCACTTAAATCTACCTGGTTTGTAGTGTATAGTAAAATTCCATTCAGCAAACATTTATCAGGCAGACACTCTATGTATTATCCACTGTGCTGTGTTCTTCCTTTAGACTTATGGGTACTTGATGTGTAAATCTTTTCTCCTTTTTATATTAAACCTATTCTTTGTTATCTCTGGTCCTTTGACTCATCTGCATTTATCCAGTCTATCTTCCCTACTCTGGCTTCACTTGTCTCCTATTTTCAGACCTGAACCTGTTGTCAGCTACTTTGATGTTTCACCAACTACTGCCCTAGAACTCCTTGTTTCCCTGATTTTGCTTTGTTCTTGACCTGCTAATCTTTAACCTATATAAACTTAACCATTCATTCTCCCCATTCCTTAAGTCTTACTAGAGGAGCATTTTTGGATAAAATTACAAAATTGGACTAATATAACCACTCCAAGTTTATGGTACGTAACTTCAGCTGGGAACTTGTAATCTTTTTACTCTTATTGATTCCCTCTCCCAAGTTTCCCATAGTAGATGTTCCAAATCTTTTCTACTCTCTTCAAGTTCCACAGACTACCTCCAGCTTTCATCTTTACTTTTTACTGTCTGACCATCTTGGTCTTTTTTCCCCTTTATTCTCTGGCAATTCCTTCCCATGAATTAATTTCTCTTCTGTTTGGCTCAATGACATTCTGCTGCTTCTCTTGCCTGTCTGACTGATCCTTCTCTGTCCCCTTTAATGGCTTCTTCTCTTTCCAACCCATTCAGGTTGGCAAGATGGCAAGGTCATCCACTGCATCCTGGGCTATCGCCCAGTTGTCTTGACTTTTTTCTTGCCGCTGGACTTCAATGACTCTGGAAGAGAGTGAGGCCAACCACTTGTGCAATTCTGACTCACTTAAATCCAATTTATGTGCCAGTCAAAAGATATCACTCATATAATTTTTATCTACTTCAGAGAACCCTCAGGTGATGGGCAAGTGATGAAGTAGCAGGTATGGATACACTGGGAGCTGTAGTTATAATCCTGCACACAGGCAGCTCAGGATATAGGGTTGTTTTCTCACTGGACTGAAGCAGCAGTGGGATTTAGCAACATGGGTGTCTGAGTAGCCTTGTGTAAGAACTGTTCTGCTCCCTTTTATGGTGTGAGGAAGGGGCTAGAAAAGATGCCCTACAAATTGTATGCTTCACCTAACCCAACCTTGTCTGCTTACCATGGCAGATGGGGATATTACCTTGCAGCAGAAACAGAAAAAAAGTACAAAAACTTTTTGCAAAAATAATTCTACTATTTACCATCGGTACATCGAATGTATGCATTCTTATGGACAACACAAAATTCAGTAGACCTGAAAGATGAACAGCTCTTGTTGCAAGAGAACTCAGCAGGTATCACATCCAAATAGCAGCCCTGAGTGAAAAACAAGGCTGGCAAGTGAAGGCCAGCTTACCGAAGTAGGAACTGGATACTCCTTTTTCTGGAGTGGTGAAGGGGAGCACCGTGAAACTGGTGTAGGTTTTGCAATCAAAACTAATTTAGTCAATAAGCTTGTATGCCTTCCAAAAAGGAGTGAATGAGAGGCTCATGACAGTGTGATTGCTGCTTGCAAGAAAGTACCACACTATCATCATCAGTGTGTATGCTTCCACCATGATGAATCCTCCTGAGGTCAAAGAAAAATTTTATGAAGACCTGGAGACTCTCATCACCAATGTGCTGAAAGAGGACAAGCTTATAATTCTGGGTGACTTTAATGCAAGAGTAGGCACAGACTGCTAGACAGGGATGGAGTTGGAAACAGCAACAGCAGTGGTCAGTTACTACTGAAGACTTGTGCATCTCATGACATTCTCATCACCAACACTGTCTTTCATTTACCTGAACACAATAAAACTTTGTGGGCGCAGCCTCACAGCAAACATTGGTATTTAATAGGTTATGTCATTATAAGGAGAAAAGACAGACAGAATGTGAGAGTCATGAAGACTATGTGGCACGGAGTGCTAGATGGATCATGATTATAGACTTAACCTCTCCAAGCTGTATAATATAATATAGCTGGATCAGTTTAGAAACCAGTTGGAAACCTTGGTTTCTAGATCCTTAGAAACAAGGAAATCATAAAGAAAACATACTTTTTTGACCCCAAGTAAAATTTGTGTTAAGCATCTTTCAACCTGTCTTTGTGTATCCTTCAGCCTCTGTCTTTTCATGTAGGTGAAATTTTTACAGTTAGAGGGGACCTTAGAAGTCATTTAATGCAGATGTGTCAAAAAGGTGGCCGGGCATGTAGCGAATATCACTCCTAATTGAGGAGGAACCAGATTAAAATTTAATTGGGAGATATTTAACAAAATAAACAGAAATACAATAAAACACAGATAACATTACATTTTAAAACTGAGTCAATATGTAGCCACAGTGATCTTTATGGAAAAGTTGTTTGACACTACTGATCTAAATAAAAAATGTTCTTTTCTCCCACTCCCTTGTATTATAGATGAGGAAACAATCTGAAAGGCTATACCTCATTCACGTTTTTGGTGCTTCCTACGGT